GAAATCATGAATAGGTTAAAAAAAAAAGCATTAAATTTTAGAATTCTCAGCTTATAGTTTCCTTTTTTACATGTACACCTGCTTATCTGGATGAAAAATTGGAGAAAATTATTTTCTTGCAGTCTTGGGATACCATAAAAATTCTCATTCAAAGGCAGCTTCAACTCAAACTTAAGGGGCTAGAATCTGTGATTTGTTGCCTAAAATCTTCCAGTGTTCTCCACTCCCCATTTCTCAAGTGAACTAGACGTTCTTAGAGGTCAAAGAAAAAAACCACATGTAGACAGTGGAAAAATACTAAACATTCAGAGAATCTGTGCCTTTTTAGAAGAATATATTTTGAGTGAAGATCCCAGAGGACATGAAGAGCTTATATGGCAGAGAAAGCTCGGGTGGGCAATGCAGTGGAATTATTGTCGTACTTTATCCAGTTCGTCTATGGGTGAATGGGATACAGCACATAGTGTAATATTTATGGACAAAGGCTCCATCTCCAGCACACGATTTCCTCACTCATCCTATTGATCAATTGTGTAGATCTACGGAATTTTTTTACTTATCTTAAGAGAAAGCAAACAAAACTGAGTCAAACATTTAGATACCGATTCTATTATGACCATGGAAAGGAAGGACTTAATGATGCAAAACAGACAGGCATGGCATCAAACCTGCTTCACCTGTGTTTTGAGAAAGCTTATACAAGTCAGAGGATAAATATATTCACATAGACTTTTCTTTGCTTCCTAGAAACTAAAATGCCTTTCCATGGACTGTGGGTGACAAATTTGCTTTCAAGTTTGAAAGGCAACCAGCTCCCTGGACATCACAGATGCCTTTGGGTGCAGGATCTAGCCCAGCCCACCAGTGGCAGGGAGCGCCCTCTGCTGGGTGGACCGCTCTCAACTCTTCCTCAATGACAATCTCTCACTTGTTCACATAAGGGATCCGGGTTTGGATCCAGGAGGCGAACAGGCCTCTGCGTGTCTCTAACCTTGCCCTGGCAGCATGGGTTTGTCTGAGAGGGTGGCCAGGTCTGCAGAAAACCCTGCACAAAGGCTGTCACAGTCACAATCTTCATTCCACAGAAAAATGACAGCAGGAAAACAAACTCAAACACCAATAGGACAGTCTCCAAGGTCATGTATATCATACACTGGCTTCTAGTTTTAAGGAACTGAAACTAATAGTATCTGACAACAGAGACAAAAGTACAATGAAGCTGCCTGCCTAAGGCCTTCCTCATTCAGTTAACTACAGTCAAGGTTGGAGACCCACAGAGGCCTGCCCCTCACCTGGAACTTATGGAGGTTATACATTCAACCCTGAAAAACTTTCCTTATTGCTGGGTGGTGTCACATGACTAGTGTGAGCTGCTATTTAGTTTTGTTTACAGGCCTCAGCCTGGTTTGCTAACATACATGAGGCAGAGAGTGTTTTTTAGAATGAGAAATCTTATACTTTCTGTCTAAAGTAGGAGAGGAGTATTTTAAAGACTTTTTTCCTGACAGAGAATCAATTTTTAAGAGAGTTTTACATTTTCTGTAGATCTTAGGATAGTTGACTATGAGATAAGACAAGCATTAATAGAGACCTTTAAAAGTTCTCTAGTAAGTTCACAAAAGAGACAAATTCTTTCTGAAATTCATCCATCTTAAAGAATATTTTGTAAAAGGAGTTTCTGAAAACTTGATTTGTCATAAAATACCACAGAATTCTCACTTTAATTCTTTTCCCCACAATTTATGTTTCCATTCTCAGGACTGAATTTATTTGTTTCTTAAGACTTCTGTAAGAAAGTACTAGAGATCGATGGGCTAAAACAACAGAAAGGTATTCTGTCAGGACTGAAGACCTGAGGAATGAAACCAGGTGTTGTCCAGGCTAGATCAGCTACCCTCTGAGGTGAAAGCACTCCTCACCTTTTTCCCATTCCTGAGCCCCAGGGTCTCCTTAACCATTGGCACCATAAGTCCAGTCACTGCGTCTGTCTTCACATGGTCTCTTCTCTGGATCTCCGGCTTTGTGTCCTTTCTCCTCTCCTTAGAAGGCCACTTATATTAAAGGCCCACCATAGCACAGTGTGACCACATCATGATCACCAAAGTAAATCAATACTGGCTATTTTCTAAATAATGTCATGTTCAGAGGTCCTGGAGTCTAAAACATCACTATAATTTTTAGGAGAACAGAATTCAACCAGTAATAGTACATAAAAGCAACTCTTACTTTAAAAGATGCTAAAGGGGTCATATAAAACTAGCATTAATATTTCTAATAGCTTCTTCACTTTGTTTTTTATTTCTCTGCTTTTCTTTCAGATGGTTATCTTTTGACTTGATTCACTGCATCATTAATTAGAGGGTGGGAATTTTCAGAATAGCAGCCTGCCACGTGCTAGAAACCCCTATATGTCTTGGTAGCTTCAGAAAGCAGGAAGAAAACCCAGGATAATTTTTTTTGAAAAACACAAGATCAGAGAAAGCAAAAACTTAAAGAAGTATAAATAAATAAAAGGGTGAGTTACACTTTGGTGAACTATGGAACATATAAAATTCTTTATCTACCTCTACACCATGGCTTTTTTGGAGTGAATGAGATTATTTCATAAAGTTCAGAGTTGAAAGGCAAACATCATGTTTGCTCAGTTATCTTTTCAACGTTTTTCAAATTTTTATTCTTGAGTATTTCCCAGAGAATATAAAGACCAAATATTATTATGGAATCTTGCAGGATATTGTATTAGTTCATTTGTCTTCATTAGTTTAGTCTCATTTTGGATTTAAATTGCCCAAAGTCTAAGAAAGCAAAGTCTGCTTTTATAATTTACAAGATTCTGTTTTCAGGACAAAAGGAATTTGACATTGTCATTATTTTTCAGGAACCGTTCAATCCATCATGACCTGCATCAGACTGACCCATGAGAATAGTCCTGTAGTTTCCCTATTTAATAAAAGCTGGTGTGATAGACTGATTCCCTGAGCACTGGTGGCCTGGGGCCTGATTCCATAGGAACCGGACTTAAATAAAAGCCCAGACAGGTGACAGCGATAGACACAGGCCACCCTGAGACACTCAAATAAACAATCCAGTCATTGCTCTTCTCACAAACACCATCTCCTTTTGAAATGCAGGCTCATGACTGTGGCTTCCAACATATAGGCAGTGAGAGCCTTAGTTTTTCACACAGAACTGACAAGAACCAGGAAATCCTGTGGAAACTGGTTCTACTTGATGAGAAAGAGTTAACAGAGGAAGAGTTCCCTTGAAGCACCACTGGGAAAAAAGAAAACACAGTCATACATTTTTCATGTTGTCCCATCATCTTAAGTGAACTTTTTCCTTAAGAATTTCTTTGACTACATATATATACACATATGTATATACATACATACATACATATATGTGGCTTCCTGGTTGGGGGGAATCCCCTGAAAAAGGAAATGGCAACCCACTCCAGTATTCTTGCATGCGAAATCCCATGGACAGAGGAGCCTGGTGGGTGGCCTGCAGTCCTCAGTGTCACAAAGAGTTTGATACATCTCAGCAACTAAAGAAAAACAGCAACATGTTGGATGCATGAGACAAGTGCTCCGGCCTGGTGCACTGGGAAGACCCAGAGGGAGAGGGTGGAAGGGCAGGTGGGAGGGGGGATCGGGATGGGGAACACATGTAAATCCATGGCTAATTCAAGTAAATGTATGACAAAAACCACTACAATATTGTAAAGTAATTAGCCTCCAACTAATAAAAATAAATGAAAAAAAAAGAAAAAGAAAAACAGCAACATATATACATATAGGTATATCAAGAGACAGACAGAAAGACGGAGAGAGATAGAAACAGAGACAAAGACAGACTCAGATAGAATTATGGTAGCTTATGCACTGCTACTGTTGCTGTTAAGTCACTTCAGTGCCTGGGATTCTCCAGGCAAGAATAATAGGTTGAAGGAACTGGGTTTTTGATATTTCATTTGATATTTCCTTACACATAAAATTCTTACACATTTTTCCTTATCTTGAACTGAACTATCAACTTTCTGCACGAGCTATATGATTTTTCCCCTGTCAATTTCTTTTGACTTAAGTGTCTTTGAAATTTAATTCACTAGGTGCCAGGAAAAGACCAGTTCTAACACCCGATTTCAACATTCTTAAACAGGTAAATTGAGTCTTGCAATTATTGGAAAGATTTTGAACCAGCTCACCTCCACACTATTGTTTGGAGAAATTTCTAAAGGTCAGTACTAGCTGCTCTGTTATCTAGATCATCTGGGAAGAAAAGCAAGACGGTGGTCCCCTTCTGACTATTGACCCTGGACACACCTGTCTACATGTCAGGGTCTTCAGTGCTTTCTTAGAGCCCCAGGTCACGTACACTGTGTCCTGATAGTCAATCTGCACTTTCTCAGTGAGATTCTTCTTCCCACTGTTTCAAGAAGTATGAACTTTAGCTAATAGTATTCACCTAAACACACAAGAGCTTTATTTCAGTTTGCTTGAGTTTGACCCCTCCCACCCTCCCTCTGGCTCTGTCTACACTGCTGCCCCCACCATGAGATTTGCATGTTGTTCCCCAGAGAGGATCTTCCCCTGCAAGTCTGAGATAAAAGCTCAGCTCTGATCCTGCTCTGACTTATCAGGACTCCTCAGTTCAAACTTCTGAACATGAGGTTCCCTGCTCAGCTCCTGGGGCTCCTCCTGCTCTGGGTCCCAGGTAAGAACAGAGCGGGGATGAGAGGAGGATGGGGGCCTGTACTCTGCTCAGGACTGTGACAGAGGAAGTGGGGATGATGTAGGGGATGTTTAGCAGCTTCTTTACACTTCACGGATGTCAGGGTCATTATCGTGATTGTACATTTTAGTTGCATGGATGAAAAGTATTGATAATGAGAGTAAAACAAAGTAGTGTTTTAGCTATCATAAATAAGAAATTGGAAATGATAATCAGAGCTCATAATATTTGTATGTAACTTGAATATTTTCTGTCATTTCTTTTAGGATCCAGTGGGGATGTTGTGCTGACCCAGACTCCGCTCTCCCTGTCTTTCACCCCTGGAGAGACGGTCTCCATCTCCTGCAAGTCTACTCAGAGTCTGAAATATAGTGATGGAAAAACCTATTTGTATTGGTTTCAACATAAACCAGGCCAGTCTCCACAGAGTCTGATCTATCAGGTTTCCAACCGTTACACTGGGGTCCCAGAAAGGTTCACTGGCAGTGGGTCAGAGACAGATTTTACACTTACAATCAGAAGTGCGCAGGCTGAGGATGCTGGAGTCTATTACTGTTTTCAAGCTACACATGATCCTCCCACGGTGATACAGCCCTGAACACAAACCTCCCTGCCTGGTTGGTTCAGCTGCTCAAAGTGCAGCTTCTCTGGGGAACTGACAGTGGATGTTCTGAATCTGTGTAACAGGTGGCGATCTCAGGGGAAGAGTTTGCAGTGAGGGCTCTGGATCATGAGTGTCTTAGCTCTTCTTCAGGCACCACATGTTGAGGTCCCATGAGCTGCACAGCCTGGTCCTGGCAGAAGCAGCAGGCACTGGAAGGGTCCTGTGTCCTATAGCAGCCAGTTCTGTGAAAGGGGGGCTGAGTGAAAGGTCAGGTATTTCTTCTCACCCAGGTTACCATTGTCTCATTAGGGTGATATGGAGGGAAGCTCAGGGAAAGAAACATAACAATGGTATTTACTCCCATCTGAGACAAAAAGGATGCAACCATGCATTCTTGTTCAGAATTTGACTTGTATTTAACAGTTGTGTATATTTGGAGATTTATTTAACCTTTTTCCCTTGGTTTGCATGCATGATAAGTCACTTCAGGTGTGTCTGATTCTTAGTGACACCATGGACTGTACACTGCCATACTCCTCTGTCCATGGGACTTGCCAGGCAAGAATACTGGAATAAGTTGCCATTTCCTTCTCCAGGGGATTTCCTCAACCCAGGGATCAAACCCACATCTCTTCTATCTCCCCATTTGCAGGAGAGTTCTTTACCACTAACGAAATCAGTAAAGCCGTTTTCCCTTGGTTTTTTGATTGGTAATGAAAGAAAATAAAAGATTTTATTTTCTTTAGCAATAAAAATGCTAAAACTTGTTATAAGAATTAAATACATGAATACATACCAAATAGTTATCATATGACTGGTAAAGTTTGTAAGCGAAAATGAAAAGTGAGCAGCAGTGTGAGTCGCTCAGTCGTGTCTTTGCAATCCCACAGACTGTAGCCTGCCTGGGTCCTCTGTCCATGGAATTCTCCAGGTTTTCACTCATTAAATACTTGTTGCCATTGTCAGTTTGCTTCATCTTGTACTTAGAAAGATACGGTCTTTTGCACAGTGTCTTTACTTCAAATTATTCCTTAGATTCTCTTTGTCTTTGGTAACTCCAACTTTGTTAAATGGTGGAGTATCGTATTTTCTATAACCAACCAAGAAGTGTATAAGTTTCAGAAAAAAGGGATATATTTATTTGTTGTGTTTAGTTGCTCGGTTGTGTCAACTCTGTGACACCATGGGCTACAGCCCACCAGGCTCTGTCCGTGGGATTTCCACGGCAAGAATACTGGAGCAGTTTGCCATTCCCTGCTCGAGAGGATCTTCCTGACCTAGGGATTGAACCTGATCTCTTGCATTGGCAATGGCAAGTGGAGTTTTTATATAGACATCAGAGGGGCTCCAGGTAACAAGGAGTCAGACTCCATTGTTAATATGGGATCAAGACACCTCTCAGCCTGTTCTCCTGCATCCCCTTTTCCCTATATCTGTCCAACAACCAGGGACACTCAGAACTCACAAACCCAAGTCCACACAAGTGCCTTTACCAAGTCCCTCCATAACCCTATTAAAAGCCCAAACTTCCACCTCTTTCAACCCAGCCTGCTCCAGCTAGTGCCCACCTTACTCCACCTGGAATTTCCTTATGTAAGTGATAATCTTTCTCTCAAATTATATAGGTATGGGGACTGTCTGGAGACTCAAGAAAATTCTTAATAACTAATTTCTATCTCATGTACAGGGAGGGCAAAGAGAGGAGGTACTTGACAAGTTGAGAAGTAGTGAAGCTGAGGGAAGGGAGCCCTATTCCTCTTTAATGACACTTAAACACATTTGCTATCTCAGTAAGGGATCCTCAAAGCTAAACATTTTTAAGGGAAAAAAAGAGATGCTGGAGGCCTCAAAGCCAAGCACAGCTCTCAGTAATATCTGTGGTCAGAGGTAGAAATAAGGCTCCACGGGCACCAGAGAAGGTTGGATCCTGCTTAGAACGAAGCCTTCAGGTAGAATGGGAGAAGGGCCACACCTGGGAGAGGAGATGAACCAGGAACAGCAAGGAATCACCAGGCTGAGGACCAGCCTCCAAGTCATGTCTCCCTGATTGGATGAAAGTGATCAACACCTAGCATTTTTCCAGATTCAAAAGTAAATCATTTCTGATTGACATAAATCATTCCAGGGTCTGAAATCATCTCTAACATTTTTAGGGTAAATATGCATGTTAATCTACATAAACATTAAGTGTATACATTACAGCTTCACTTTTATTAAAACACAGAGGCATACATTATCAAGAGGGAAGAATTGTTTCAGAGAAGGCAATGAACACAGGTGGAATAGAATGTACATCAAGACAGAGCCAGAGAATTCAATGCTATGAGGGGAATTACTTATTATATGCTTACCACATATGTGACAGGATGTAGAATATTTTCATGAAACCAGAAACTTTAAAAAATAATCAAGAAGAATTAAGTACCTACATTAACAAGAGACTTGATTGAGCTTCTTCCAGTGCTTTGTTGTTTGGCATCTAGTCAGCAGACTAGGTTACAATTATATCATGCCCATGTCCTTAGTTTTATCTACATCCTAAGGACTGAGCGACTGAACTGACTGACTGACTGAAGGATATTTTAGTCGTTGCTTAGGTTACAGGTACTTAAAACTAGAGAAAATTTATTCACAGAACTACATTCAGGTGAAAAAAAACACCTGAATAAGCAACATCATTTTATTTTCCTTCACCACTACGGTTCCATGTTTGCACTCACACTAAGTGCCTTTCTTCCCCACTTTCCCGTGGGGCTGCTGTGCTGACGCCATCTCCTCCCTCTGGCCTGTGGCCATGGAGGGAGCGTCTCCATCTCCTGAAGGCCATCGCATCTCATCCAGAGTAATGGACACACCTGCCCGCCATGCTTCCGGCACAACCATACACTCTCCTCAACCACTGATCACAGGGGTTCCCCAGGCTCCTGGGGTCCCAGCCTGGCTCAGTGACTGTGGGTCTGGGACAGATTCACACTCACACTCACCAGGGTGGGGTCCCTGCACGTGACTTCTGTGCCCAGAACCCTCACTGGGACCACACGTGTCATGGCCCTAAACACACCCCTGCCCCGTGGGCTCAGCCCTTGTGCTCAGCTGAGCAGCTGCTTCCCCCAGGGAATCGGGGTCGGAGCAGCTGCTCCTCTCAGTGGAGCACAAGCTGGGGGAGGAGGGAATGGTGGGGAGCCCTGGAAGGAGGTGGGAACACCCTCAGGTCCAGAGCCCAGGAGGCCCTGTCATGAGCTCCCCAGGGTCTGGACCGCTGGCTGAGATGCTCACAGACGGCTCCATGCTGACTCTCGCTCAGCTCTCAGCATCACTAACTGTGAAGGACCGACCACCTGCTCTCCAGTCCCCTGGAGCACAGACCTTCCCCACACTGATGTACCTGCCAGACTCAGACACTTGCTCATAGACAAGGTTGGGGCCCCAGGGAGGGACTTTCTCAGTGGTTCTGAGAAAACTACCTTTCCCTCAGTCTCTCTGGCAGAAAATCCTAGTCTGGAAAATCTTAATCATCCTGATGTGTATTCTCTTAAAATCTGAAAATATCCTCATATTAGAGACAGAATACCATGATGAAATTTGAACTTCACATAGCCACAGCTTCTAAGTTTGTTCAACTAAATTTGTTCTAGAATTTCCTGGCTTTGAATCATACTCATGCCTTTTCTCTGTTCCCTGCATCTCAGCGCCTGCTTCTGTCCTAGACTACCAGGACCTCAGGTTTCCCTGAAAGTAGACATCTTCTCCCCTAACTTTCAGAATGCCCGTGTTCTTGGTTGGAGTAGTCAGTGGTTTTCAAAGTGCAAGAGTCAGGCATCTGTAGGGTATGACGTATTTTATATTTTCATCCAGATAGTGATATATGGAAACCTTCATGGGTTGTATACTTAACATATTTGCCTGTTTTTCCTGTATGTTTTTAATATCACAATTAAAATGAAAAAGAACAAACACAGAGTCTTTAAACAAATATTTAAACAAGAAGAAAAATCAACACATAGAGAAGGAAACTCAGCATTCTTAAATCAAAGTGTAATATGATGCACAAATATGAGAGTTGGATCATAAAGAAAGCTGAGTGCTGAAGAATTCATGCTTTTGAACTGTGGTGCTGGAGAACACTCTTGAGAGTCCCTTGGACAGCAAGGAGATCAAGCCAGTCAATCCTAAAGGAAATCAATCCTGAATATTCATTGGAAGGATTGGTGATGAAGTTTAAGCTCTAGAACCTTGGCCGCCTGATGCGAAGAGCCAGCTCATTGGAAAAGAACCTGATGCTGGGAAAGATTAAGGGCAGGAGGACAAGGAGTTGACAGATGGTTGGATGGCATCATTGCCTCAGTGAACATCATTTTTACTGTCTGACCACCAGGGAAGCCCAAGAATACTGGAGTGGGTAGCCTATCCCTTCTCCAGGGGGTTTTCCCAACCCAGGAATCAAAACAGGGTCTCCTGCATTGCAGGCAGATTCTTCCCTGGTAGAAACTGAGTACTTCAAATAGATCCCAGTTTTTAAATGCTCTAAAATATTTCCCAGCTAATACTGGACATGATAGTTATATATTCTGACAGCATATGATTGGCATAAACTAATTCCAAATCTCCCTGAACAATATAATCCTGTTGCTGGTTAAAGGAATAAAACTTACTACAGATGAGTTCCTTTCCAGCTTGAGGTTACATAGCAAATGCTATTAAAGTTGTACTATTATCTAGAAAATTACTATCAATAAAATTGTATTTTATCTAGAAATAAGTGTTTTATATTCACCGGTTTGTAACACATATGAAGAAACACAAGTATTCAGGGTGTACACTTGTTCATCACTGTTCAAGGAGAGGACATGTTTCTATTCAAGAGTCTATT